TCATTGATGTCTTCCTGCAAGTTAGTAACGCTTACTTCTCCCGAAGTTGATAAAAATACATCTTTTCAGAAGACAGCCTCACCCTGAAGGCTCCAAACCAGACCAGCTCCCGGCTTGCTTCGGTAAGTCAGTCTGGTGTTAACTTCCTAACAACTAAGATGATTTATCATAGAGCAATAAAATGGTTTGGGTTGGAAAGGACCTTAAGATCATCCAGTTCCAACCCCCCTGCCATGAGCAGGGGCACCTCATCCTAGACCATGTCACCCAAGGCTCTGTCCAGCCTGGCCTTGAACGCTGATAGGGATTGGGCATTTACCACTTTGGGCAACCTGTTCCAGTGCCTCACCATCCTCACAGTGAAGAACTTCTTCCTTATATCTAACCTGAGTCTCCCCTCTTGGAGCTTGAAGCTTTATGTTCTGTTTCAAAGCTGAGTTGTCAAACTAAAGCCTACAGCCAACTGTTCTCATCAGTGCTTTAACTGCCAAGTCTTACCCGGTTTCAAACACTTGTATTTTTTTGATTTTGTGTATGTTAAGTTGCACATGATTTAGTTATGTCACAGTATTCTGGAGCATGACTATTTAAACACAAGATTGAGTTCAGTATCTGGTGAGGACTTTTTAAAGGTTGTTTTATTTGACTTGATATCAATGTCTTCCAGTAGTACTACATCTTTAAGAAATTTTGGCCACGTTTTCCTTTCGATTGTGGAAATCAGTGTGAGGAAGCCTTTGGGAGGAGGACTTATGGAGGAGGAGGCTACTAGGTGTTTTAAAACAAGAATTTCTGAAGAAACATGCTCATTATTTTGCTTACTTTTATGTGGGCACAGTCTTCATGAGGAGCTTTGTGTATGTAAACATCTTTATGATTATTTGGTGGTTCTTTGTTGCCTTTGCGCAGAGGATGCCAACAGACAACAGCCACTTGCCAGACAGCATCCAAGAACAAGACCCTGTTACCACTTCAAGCAATGATTGCCTACGTAATGATGAGGAATTGGGAATTGAACAAGAAAATGGCATTTGTGATAATGACCTGGATAATAGTGTTGAGGTTCCCAGCTTTGCCAGCCAGCCATCTACTTCCATGACTGTTCCTTTGGAGGTGTCCAGAAGAGGACAACCCATTTTACAGATCAACAGGCAGCAGATTCAGTCCATCTCATATAGTGCACAGGCTGCTGAGCTCAAAGGTTTAGGAGTTGATGTCTATGACCAGGATGTATTGGAGCAAGGAGTTCTTCAGCAAGTAGATAATGCAATTAATGAAGCGAATAAAGCAACAAAAATAGCTGATGCAGAGAAAGAATATCGGTCAGTGTTGGATGACTTAAGGTAAATTGTGTCCTTTCTTACTGTTCTTTTCTGTTCCTGACTGATAAGGCTTGGTGTCTTGTGTTTTTTAAAAGCTGGAAGATGAAAAGATGTTTTGAAAGCACTAGATCATGTGTTCCGAGTCACCCACCTTTTAAAAAAGGAGAAAATATTTTTCACTTCAGAGAAATGCTTCTTTGGTCTTATTTGAATAATTTAGTCATGCATCAAGGCAGTAGAGGACAGCACATCTCCTTTTTCTGCTTTGTCTCCTACCTTATGAAGAAGTGTTGTTTTCTGGGCAGTAGAGGAGAACTGTATTATATTCTATTATTCAAAGTCATAGTCAGAAAAAGTGCCACTTCTTCAATTCTGTATGCTTCATAGCATTATGTGCTTTCTGTAACTTGGATGACTGCATATCATAAGTGTACTACAACCAAAACCACATTATCACAAGTGCTTATATGAAGTATTTAATGATATCTTAAAATAATCAAATGCCTAATTAACATGGGATATAGATAGTAAAAGACTTTGTGGGATAGGAACCACTAACCTTTTGAGTTCAGATCTTAGATTTCCCTTCTGTTTCTAGTCTCATTGTAGAGTTACTGTGTGAACTACTGCAGGTAAATAATTTTACAAGTCCATCTTTCACTCTTACATTAATGTTGAGGTTTAGTGCTCAAGAGTGGTGTAGGCCTCCATTAATTATGTGAACTCTTATGTAGCTCTTGTTATGCATAAGCTTAATTTTATGTACTTTGTTAATTTTCCAATTTGGTTGTGGAGATGTGAAATTAACTATGTTTGCAAAATTGGAACCTAATTTCAGATGTTACAGTGAATAAGATGGTCACTGAGAAGAAGAATGGAGCAGTGTAACCACTGCAATTAGATTATGTGGTTGTTAAGAGTGGTACGTGACACTGCCAATTAGTTGATATTTTCCTGGTTTTCTTTAGAAGGCATCCTATGATTTTTCTTACCCTTCTATTTTTGTCTTCCACTTAAAGTTGTAAAATGAGATTTATATGAGGGAATGCAAATGTTTTATGCAGACCTGTAGAACGTCATCTCATAAGATGTAATGTGCATGTCTGAAAGTTTATTTTGGAGAAAATTAGCAGAGATATAGCTGGCTTGTTGAGCAGAGGGACTAACAGAAGTAAAGACATATGAGTAGAGCATGATGGAGTTAGTTAAAGTCCTGTAACATGGTAAGTGCATGACTAGAGGTAAAATCAGGCACAAAGAGTTTTTTGAGCAATCGGCACAGAGTTCATGATAGAAGCTGCATGACTTTGAAATGTACATAAATCTAAGCGAAGGAGGAGAATAAAATAGTTGAAGTTAAATCCTGTTTAAATCCCACAGTCTGTTAAACATTTGTGGAAAAGGACAGTGGTGGTATGTGTCAAGACACCCTTGGGCCAAGGAAGGAAAAGCCAAATGGCAGGAGGTGTTCAAAAGGATGGTATACTTAACAGCAACAAAACAGAAGACTGAGAAAGGAGATGGGATGGTTCAATATTGCTTGAAGAGAATGGAGAAGTGAAGATGGTAGTGATAGCTGGGGAGCTGGTAGAACATGTCTCTTAGGACAAAAGTGGTAGAATTCAAATTAGAGCTGGAGAGAAATGTGTCCCAACAATTTCCTCACTGACAATTGAGGAGTCTTATACAGTGCTTTTACATATGAGAGAAATAATGGCTACTCTGCAGGTTTTGTGGAGAGTTTTCTTTAACACTTTTCATAACGCTTTGAGATGCTAATTTGTGTAGCCTTATGAAATGTTCTGCTATTTGAATTAACAAATCTGTTGCTTTTGACAGTGGAATTTAACAGCAGAAACAGATACTGGGTTATAGTATGTGGTTCAGCCTGAATTTCATATTGTATATGGAAAAATGAAAAACAGGAGTGCATGAGTAAGGAAAGTTTGATGTTGTTGTGCTGTTAATTCTTTCAGCTAGTCCATCTTCATGAAACTGTATCTTGTAATCAGCTCTTTGTTTGAGAGAGACATTAGAAAGGCAAAAGAAATAGGCTTCCTTATATAATGGCATCAAACTAATAAACAGATTCAGAAAAGGAAAACGTGGGATTTCCCATTTAGATTTTTGGTTTGTGTTTTGTTTACCTTGAATAATAAAAGCAACCACTATCACTTGCTTATTGTCATCATCAGACTTGTAACTTTGAGCACTAAATATTGCGATGGCTTGTTCAGTTTCCTTGCCTTTGGAATTCTAAATTGTCTGAATTGAGAACGTGCTATTTTTCTTTCTAGACTTGACCAGTACATTGCAATCTTCTTCTTTTTTCAGATCATGTACAACATCTCTGAAACAAATAAATAAAATTATTGAGCAACTTTCACCTCAAGCTGCCGACAACAAAGATATAAACAGAAAACTAGATTCTGTAAAACGGCAAAAATATAACAAGGTGATTGGATTACGTTGATTTTCTGCTGACAATACTTAACTTGTACTTTGGCTTAAGGTTTGGATTGTGTGATACAATTCTATCTTAATTACATAGTTCAGAGTCAGTCAGCAGTTGCTGTTCTTGCCTTTTTAAATGGTTTGTCTACCAAAAGTAAATAATTTAAAGATGTGAAAGTAAGAGATTATTATTATTGTTGTTGTTGTTATTGTTATTATTAGTTTTAGAACAATCGGTAAAACTGAAATTCCAGGACCTGCTCAGAAGACTGACTTGCATTAATTTCATTAACTTAATTAAATCCTTCCCAGTAGTGTTTGGAGAATTAGCAAAGCATTGTTAGGGCATGATTTAGTAGTTGACCTAAATCTCAGCTCTCCTGGTCTTCATTCCCTACCTTCCTTTCCTTAATCCTCTTTTCATTGTCTGTGTCTTTGTTGTACTGATACACATCATTCCTTTCTGTGAACCATATTAATTCATTGATTTGGCAGAAACTGCTCCAGATTTTTTATTGCCAGAATAGCAAATCGAAGGAGCTCGTAGAGCAATCTAGCAGGCACCAGTGTAATGTGAGCAATAGACCTAAACAGCTGTGAAAAGGAAGAAGATTTGAGAAAAGGGAAATACTCTTCTGGGCAGCAATGTAGCACTTTGATCAGCTCTCTCTCTGATGGAAATTCATTCTAATATTTTCTCTGATGATAAAGCTGACTGAAAAACTTACTGCCCTTTATCTTCAGACACTTCCTACCAGTCTCAGGCCATTTGCCACTGACTTACTCAGTTGTACGATTTTTAACTTTGATCATTTCAGCAATTTGGATAACATTGTACTCACAATTTGGCTAATGAAGAGAGTGAGGGGGGCAGTACTGAACAGCGGCACAGAAGTAGGAACTGGAAGTAGTGGGAAGAAAGGCATTAAACCAGATGCACCACTAAAGAGTGATCATGTAATTGTATTTTGCTTGTTTTCATGTTACTTTTTATTATGAAATGAAAGTAATATATGTGTTAATAGTAATAATTAGTTAATAACAAAGTATGAATTAGTTTCAGGGGAAGTCCAAACCTCGTGATTTCATTGTTGGTCACTCTAACAGTCCTTGGCGTGTAACAATAGATCCTTTATGAAAACTATAATCTGTAAAAAGTGATCCTATGAACCTCAAGAATTTTGGAGGCTGTTTGGATTCAGTGTATTTAAACCTGCTCTTGGTGTACTTTTTGCGTGGAGAAGTGCCTTTCAGTACTCTTCATTTTGTAGTATTAAAAAAAAAAAAAAAAGGGTTAAAGAAGGCTGAATTCTTCTGTTATTGAGACAAATGGGAAATTAATGACTGGTACAAGACAGGTATTTCCTTAGAACTGTCATACAGCGAGTGTTTTATGATATAAAGTACTCTGGTAGCAAGAATAATAGTGCATACACTGGAGATAATACATTGTACCATACATTAATATACTTGCCCTTTGTGGTTTCTAAAGTGGTCATGAGGACATAGGCAGGCTAGTGAACTGTTCTTCACCAAAAGAAAACAAAAGAATTTTGCCATGAATATTCATTTGTACTGAAGTATGTGCCTCTCTAGATAGGGAAATATTTCCAAAGAATGGAGTTACAAATGTGTGCCTATGTCTTTGTTTTACTGCTTGGAATTTCTTGTTCCATAAGTGAAAGTTAGCAACACCAAGGAACTGCAATGTCACCAATAAATACACAGTTGAGGATATTGCCATCAGATAAAAGGTGTAGCAGAAGAGCTAGCTATGGATTATTTTCATAGCAGTAATGAATTGTCCTTGTTACAGCATCTGTAACGTTGATTTTTTTTTTTTTTTTTTGCTTATTTTTTTAAAGTCATTCTACTTTGTAGTTTTTGCTGTTAAATTAGGTGTCACCGCTCCTGAATTAAGTGTGTACAAACACATATTAGGTTGATGGACTGATTTACAATTTCAGTTTCTTTTTAACAAAACATTACAAAACTTCTGGGATGATAAATAAATCTTAAGTCTTAAAGCTGGTTTTAGTGGCTTATAACCATTAACCCAATCTTGCAAATCATAGACAAATCTTTGTGTTCTCTGTGCATCTCACTACTCTGCTCAGTGTGCTTCCTTCACTAGAATCAACACATTTATAAAACTACCTCAAAATATGTACATAAAATGTGTAATGTGCATGTGAAATTTGTGTGTCTAAACAATCGGATCTTACTGTATATGTAAGATAATTGCACACACAAAATTGTGTGTGTTTTGTGGGTTGGAGACCTACAGATACTGTGGTGACACTTCTTTGCACTTTTTTGTTTCAAATGCCATACTGTGAACATTTGAATATGAGATTCTGGGAAAAATATTGAAAATGTAGTAAAGTAAGTCTTGTTTAAAAGGATAGCATGGTTATGAACCAGATTAAAATTGAATTATGTATCTACTTGTCATTCAAGGAACAACAGCTAAAGAAGATAAAAGCAAAACAAAAGCGCCTCCAAGCAATTCTTGGTGGAACAGAGATTCTTGATAAAGTAAATGAGATTGAATTCGAGGAAGATGAAGGTATGTGAGAAGGATGAAAGTTCTGTTCTACTCTGATGTAATGCCTTTCTTTGTTTGAAGCTAGATCTTTGCCAATAAGGAAATACATTTCAGTGGTTTGCTTTCAAAGAGAGAATTAAGAATACTTATTTTGTGCACCTGCAGACTTGCAGATCTTGACATATTCATGTGGGAAGTTTTAAAAAATGGATGTTAATCCATGTTCAACTCACTAGGGATGGCTGAGGAACATTAGAGTATTGGGCTTAATAAATTGGAAATCCTAACATTTTTTCACAGCTAATTTGATAAAGATGACTAACATCATGATTGAATTACATTTTATATGCTGGATGCTATCAATCAGCATTAACAAAATTGTTTTTTCTTACTGTTGCGAAGTATCACTAGCAATGGAAGGGGGAAGTGCTTCTCTTTGTCAAGCTGCACTGTGATTTAAAGAAAAAAAAAAGGATAAGGCTTCTTCCAAAGAAGAATATTTGACCTCCCACTGTTTCACTAGGTGGTCTTTCTCACTGCTGTCTGCAGACTGAGCTTGGATTTTGTAACTCCAATTTGGCTGTGTCTTGGCCTTAGTCACTAACCTGCAGTGTTCTGCAAGGCAAGTTTGCACCCCATTGCCATCTGCTCATCACTTCTGAGTTACGTTGTTTGCAGAGGTGTAAACTCTTCTTGCTATTTGTCCATTGCAAAGGTGGCTGCAGTGGATTCCAGATCTCACAGAAGCTCACACTTTTTTCCTGATTCGGCAAAACCTACAGGACTCAAAACCTCAGTAAACTTTTTCTTAGTAGAAAAGCATCCTTAATCCTTTTTTGTTTCCATGGGTTCATGTAGTATAACTCAGGCATACAGTGTGATGAAATGTAACTAGGAAGTGAATGGAACCCAGGACAGAAAAAATGGAGTTAAGCAGTTCCAGTAGCTGGAGAAACTCAGGGAGTGGAGAGGGAGGAGGTTTATGCCTGTTGCATCATTCTTACTTGTTACACAGGTTTTGGTATAAATACTGGAGTATTTACAGTAATACAGAACTGGAGTATTGTGTACAGTTCTGGTGTCTTCAACATAAAAAGGACATGGAGCTGCTGGAGCAAGTCCAGAGGAGGGCCACGAGGCTGAAAAGAGGGCTGGAGCACCTCCCTTATGAAGACAGGCTGAGAAAGTTGGGGCTGTTCAGCCTGGAGAAGAGAAGGCTGCGTGGAGATCTCATAGCAGCCTTCCAATATCTGATGGGGGCCTCCCAGGATGTTGGGGAGGGACTCTTCATTAGCGACTGTAGTGGTAGGACAAGGGCTAATGGCTTTAAACTTAAACAGGGGAGGCTTAGGTTAGATATAAGAAAGAAGTTCTTTACAGTGAGGGTGGTGAGGCACTGGAATGGGTTGCCCAAGGAAGTTGTGAATGCTCCAACCCTGGCGGTGTTCAAGGCCAGGTTGGACAGAGCCTTGGGCGACATGGTTTAGTGTGTGGTGTCCCTGCCCATGGCAGCGGGGTTGGAACTAGATGATCTTAAGGTCCTTTCCAACCCTAACTATTCTATGATTCTATATGGGAGTGTAGTGATTTCTTGTATTAAACATGGTGACAGCATAGGGAGCACATTAGAGTTCATATGCTGTGGGGGACTGTAATTTTTTGGTAGTTCCTGCTGTATTTTGTTTCAAGAAGTATTTGCATTTTGATAGTATGTGTAATGTTTCCTATGTTAAGTTTTAGAAGTAATTCAAAGTAAAAGTTACAGTCTGAGTTTTTAGGTCTTATGTTTTGTTGGGGTTTGCCCTTTTTGAATTTCAAGTATTATATATGATGATAATTTGGACTTCTAGATTATCATCGAATGGTTAGAGTTGGAAGAGACCTTAAAGATAATCTAGTTCCAACACCCTTCAATGGGCAGGGATGTCCTCCACTAGACCAGCTTGCTCAAAGCCCTGTCTAATCTGGCCTTCCAGTGTCTCCAGGGATGGGGCATTCACAAACGGAACTGAGTGCGCACACAGCTTGGGGGTAGAAGGGAAAAAAACAAAACACCCTTGTTCCTGTGTTTGACTTCTTGAGAAAGCATTAAAGACATGATGGATGTTCTGATTCTTGTTGTAGAACCTGGTCCATCATGTCTTGGCAGTATGCTTATGCCGGTTCAGGAAACAGAGTGGGAAGAGCTTATTCGTACTGGTCAAATGACTCCATTTGGAACTAAAATACCTCAGAAGCCAGAGAGGAAAACACGACAATTAATGCTAAATGAAGCATCTGATTTTGAAAAGTACTTAGCAGACCAAGCTAAGCTGTCGTCTGAAAGAAGGAAATTATCCCTTCACAAACGAGCAAAGAAGAAATTACAAGCCAAAAGCGTCCAGTGCATAGCTCCCACATCTACTACAAAGGAAAAAGGGGGTAAAGCTCTGTCAAAAACAGATAAGCGCTTAAAAAAACACCTTAGAAAACTTCAGAAGCATGCCCTTCAAATTCAGTCAAAGGCAGAGATTCCGAAAGAAAAGAAATATCCTGAGACCAAAAAGTCCAGGCATGAACAGGAGGAGGATGATAGTGGAGAATCCGAGTATGTACCTGATGAGGAGCTTTTTGATCCAGAAGCAACAGAAGAGGAAGAAAAGCAGGCATCTTCTCATGCTGAGAATGATTCTGATTATGAACTCAGGAATTTGCCAAGAAAAAGAAAATCTTTGGTAAAGAGAGATTTTAAAGAAGCTGAAGATGATGACTTCATTCTAAGCTCTGAGGACGAAGAGCTTACACCGAAGAAACGCAAAGTAAAGAGATGGAGAGATGATGGAGATGGAGACTATTATAAACAGAGGCTAAGGTTAGTCCTAAACATTTATATTAGTAACATTAACAAATGATGCTAAGCATGCATAAGACACTGCTAAGAACTGAAGTAAAGAAAACAAGACAGTCAGAATGATCCTTCCAAAAGGAATCAGACATACCTTTAAATTACTATGTCTTTGCTGTTAGATTTTTTTGATTGTTACAGATCCGTCAGTAATAAGCCATTTGTGGATCAGTGTGTGTTTGTTATTTGCAGAACTATGAATGTGCCCAAAATCGAGTATATATAAAATAATGTATTCACAGCTTTATACTTAAGTAGTGCATTTGTTTGTAGATCATATACCTAACTTTCAACAACAACAAAAAAAAGTCTTCTGTTTTATAGGTAAAATTACATTCCAGGCAGACAAAGCCCTCTCTCTTCAGAGGGAGAGCACTTTTCCACTGAGAGAGAAGTCCTTAGTTTGGGGTGGGGTGAGATGCTTAGTTTTAGGCTTTAAATAATTAACTACTAGTCAAGAAGAAATAATTTGAATAAATTATAGTTACATACTATTTTTATAGAATTTGTTCATTTACCAAAATGTGAGGCAATTTACATACAGTTTATATGGCTAAGAGATTTATTTGAAAATCAGCATTAAAAGGATCTTTTGAATTTAAACTTGTAGAAAAGATTATACTGGAATGGACAATATCTATATTATTTGATTATTAGCACATGATATCTCTTGCTTAACTTGCATTACCAGACATGAGTAATGAAAACTGGACATTTATAGTGCTATTAGTCAAGTCTAAAAAGAGCTGCTCTGTTAGACAGTGATTTTCCTCTTTATTCTTGATGAGAGTGAGGGTAAAAATGTCCTTATCTAAAAAGAGAGTCATGATGGTGGTGGTAGTAGTGGTATTTTCTGTTGCTCTGGTGACCTGAGGTTGTAAACTGAGGTTTCCAAGGATAATACAGTATGTTAGGTGGGGAAATACAACTAAGAACACAAGTTATGTTTGAAAATGGTAGCTGAAACACCTTGTACTCATCTGTGATTTATTGAATTTATATAACCTGTGTTATGATGATCTCTCTGTAGCTACAGTGTGCTGTTGAGATGTTTTCTCTAGTGGTAGCATAGCTGTTGAGCTCCTAACAGTAGGACTAAGCAATGTTGTTGTTTTCACAGCTACCTGAAAAACATCTTAAAGGGGCAACAAACATGTCATTTTTTAAGCTGTTAAAATGCTAACTAGACGTGTCAGTGAAGTTAAAAGACGTTTTTGCACCTGCTGGAGTCAAAAGATCAAGACCACTAAAATAGCTGAACCGGGACAGTTGTAACTGTTGTCTAACTCGGGCATGTTTTCTAGTATAAGGGTTGAGCTTTGTATAAGGGATTTCAGCTTGTCGATCTCATGCTTACTTTTAATTAATTACCTTCAGTGAATGTCCTTCAAATAGTTCTACAGTCCTCTAGAAAATCATGTATTCCAACCTGAAAACAGCTACTCTAGAGTGAAAGGAAGAATATATATTAGAGCTGTCAGTGAAAGGTGATTGATGCAGTGATAAGGCCTAGCACAGAAACTTGGTTAATGCTTGGGAGACTTGAATTTTACACTTCCATGGAAATACAAAATCTTATGGATTTAAATGAAGCTGTGTCAGAGGAGGATCAAGCCTGAGTTGCTGTGGAGGAAGAGGTATATTCTGATAGCAGAGGTACTCACAGTTGTAGAATAACTGGTACCAAAACCTCAGGTATGAAGAGCCCAACTTCACTTTCACATCCCATGTCACAACAGCAGATAGGAGCTGATATGAGACAGTAGGTTTGCAATTCCAGGATGCCACTTTTCAAAGTTAAAGCGTAGTTTATTCCTTTTGAATAGAAGATTTTGGCAAGAGGCTAATTTGAATAATGTCCAAAGAGTCAAAAATAAATATGTTTTTTTAGTGGATGCGTTAACAAAAATTAATTGTACTTAATTGGTGAAATATTTATTATTTTATTGAATAAAACTGTATTCTTCACATTTTAATTAGACCAATATTAAATCATTTTTAATTCAGTGTTTTCATCAAGAGTAATTTTAGTATGACTCACACTTTAAATTCATTCAAACACATTTTTTAATAACATTAAGATTGTGACAATTTATCCTTAGCAAAGTCATATCATAGACTACATTTCTTTTGGTTACTAAAGTTACAATAAAGGCTTAAATGAATTTTAGAAATATCAATAACTGTAATTGCTACCAAAACACTACATCTCTTCAAAATTTCATAGCTACAGTTATTGTGGCTGTTAAGCTGCAGCTGTCCACATTGATGTTTTTATGCTGACACCCCCAGGTAATCTTCATTATGGGAAATGCCATGAGAAAATAAAATGTAGTGAATTAAGAAACATATTAAGAATGCTATAGAAATGCTGTCATTTGCTTACATTTATGTCTTGTTTCATGTCAGTTTTACTTTTGAATACAAACGAATGGATGAGATTATGGTATATTTTACCCCTGAGAGAGGCAGGGGAAAATCCTTTAGGATTACTTTAGTCTTCTGAACATCTAGTCTTACGCTTGCTGCCAAATACAGCCGTACACTCTTAAAGATTGAAAATGAGTTTCCTTAACATTAAAACTTTTCACAGATGGGACTTGAAGAGATTGGTCTCTGTCAAGGGGAAACTACATTGATGTTGTTAAAGCGTCGTAATTAGCTGACTGTGGGACTGCAAAGCATCTCTAGAACAAGAGACTGTTTTCAGAACAGGAGCTGGTGTTATCTGTAGTGAACAGGGCAGGCGGGAGAGCACCTGTCTCTTTCCTGTCCTTGTAAAGGCTACTGGTGGTGGTTGGCCTAAATACTCAAAGCAAGATGAGATCAGTGGAATGTGAAAAAGTAAAAGTTAGCTATACAGAATTCATCTCCCACTCTCGGTAATTTCAGTTCTTTTCCCTTGTGTGGGTCTTGCCTTTCTCTAGTTACTCTTACTGGAGCCATGCTGCTGTGCAGACATGCAGGGGAAAAATCTTCTGTTCTTAAAAGGTTAATGTCTAAGGTGAATCGTGACTTTCAAGAATGACCAGTAGCAATCAGGGTTATGGAGAGTAAGGTAAATAAGTGGGATACTGTAAAGCATCTAAAAGGTAAGTTTAAGGTTCAGTGTAAAGTAGTGTGTTGTCATTCCCATCTCTCCTTCATACTGGCTATTGCCAGCTGAGCCCAGAGGATTAGGTCTCTAAGATGGTGCTGAAGGTCTCAGAAATTTGATCCCTATCAACACATATGTTATCGATGTAAATCTTGTTATGCTCAACAGTGACCATCCTCGTCTAGAAGTGTTCAGAACTCGTGCTGGTGGAATCTTAACCTGTTGCCTTCTGCCTGGTGGATTGTTCAGGTCATGGTGGAGACAGCTTCTTTAAAGACTATGGAATGAGTGAAAATGCACATGATTTCAGCTTCTTTTACATAGGATCACAAAAATAACCTTGTATGCAGGTTAAATGCATAGGAAATGAACCTTTTCTTTGTTCTCAATAAGAAAACTACATAGTTTTCTTGTATTATTCTCAAGACTTTGCAGATGTAGAAACTGCAACTTATCAAGATTTGTTTTTCTTTTTCATATGAAAGTTTTCATTTACATATACTGAAATGCAAAGCATATGTATAACCAAGTAATTTTTGCTGCTTATGAGATAAGTAGTTTCTGTGTTACATTTTTGACATCACTAATGTGTTAACTGCATAAGGTAATAGCTTGGAGTCGAAACAAAAAATGAGCAGTCTGGTCACTGTTCACATAGCAATTGTCAATACGTAACTCCTTCAACAAAGGAATTGAATGTTATGGGAGATAAGAGCCATATCCACATTGTCTTGTGTATTCTCTATAGTTTGTGGAGTACAGTTGTTTGAATCCTTCAATTGCTGTCAAGTGCTCAGAAGCAAAGCTGTTTCTTTCCATGTCTCCCAAGTGACATCCAAGCAGCTGAGTAGCTGGAAGTTGTGCTTATCAGTGCACAAAGTAATTGATTCAAGGAATCAAACAAAAATAAAATTTGCTTAAAACCAAGTTGTTTTTCTCAAATCAGATAAGTTTTCATGTGCTAGCTGCCTTTGAAGTGTCTGAGTCACTGAATCTCTTGATGTTTCAGAGTTATAAATTAAAGAAGGTTTAAATATTACCTTTCCTGAAAGATACTTTCTTAAAGCATCCTAACTGCTCTTTAAAATGACAAAGCCAAGACACAAATGAAGATATATTTTGGCTCACTTGCCAAGTACACCTTTCATTCTAAGCTCAAGTGTATAATTGTCTACATCAGTCTTAATTTACTTACGGAGACTTGTGGTACTAACTGCATGTATTTCATCTGTTAGGACGTTCCAATTAAATCCACCCATATAGACCATAAAAAGTTAGATCAGAAAAGTAATGCTGAATGCTTCAATTTAGCAAATTAGAGTAATCTGTAAGGGATTCTTAGCTGTATAAAATAGAAAACATATTGTACTTCACAAATGGAAACTATATTAAACACTCAGCTTGGTTCCTGACTGTATTTTTTTTTTTTTAAATCAAATTGTGCTCATTACTGTTTCAAACGCAGAATTTCTTTCTAGGGTATTGCAATAAGTGGGAAATGGGCTTAGTATCAGAATACATTCTTATATTAAGAAAGATTTAATTGTATGATATATGGCTTTCGTACTGCACTTGCAGCATAAAATTGTATTTGTGTCTGTGACCATGGACAACATAAAATGGATTTCTGAAGGTCATACTTGTATGTTCAAGAGGCTCTGGCAATACAGTAACACCTGTATTTTCTGATTCATTATGCATACTAATGATGTTTAACTGAGGTGCATAAGGAATATAGTGACCAAATGGTCAATATGTTACTGTTTAGTTAAGTCAAATATAAGCTACTGCTGTTTTTCCCTATGAAGTTTCACTTCTGGGGAAAGGTACAGGACCAGACTGACCAACTGGCTGCTGTGATCTACCAAATAGTGTTTGTCCTCCTATTGCTTCATTGCCATTTACATATTTACACTTTTCTAAATAAAATAATCGAGTTTTAGTGTATAATATCTTAATACAATATCTTACCTTAAGTTCACAGCCTTTCAAAAACTGAATAGCTTCTTCAAACTTTGAAAGTTGTTAGTGGTAACAAAAAATTGCTGCTTTTTCTGTAAACTGGTAGTTGAGAGCAAAGAAACCTACACACTTCTGGAAGAGTTGTAGTAGTACCAGAGCCTTCAATACTACAGCTTGTGTAATTATACACTTCAATAAAGTAACAGATACAGTGTGTATAAAATAAGCTTTCATTTAGGAAAATTAAGTATATGATTTATTAGTTCAAATTCTAGACATACATCTTTTCTAGGTATCTAATAATTTTAAGAGAAATCCCAACATTGATCAAACTTCTTGTGGAAAATATAGTAGTTTTATTAAGGTGAAGAGCCTAAATCCCTGGACAGCAACAAGATCATCTCAGAAATGTTTCTTGGTTGTTGCTGGATCACTTTTTCTATATGTACACTAGAGGGCAATCTGATTCTTCCCAGGGGAGGCTGAAGCTTCATTGTTGGGTAGTGATGATTCATACCGGAGTATAGAATTAGAAGAAAGCTCTTGAGCAAATTATTGCCCTGCTTGAGTTTAATATGGACTCTTTATTGAGCTGTCACTTCAGAAGCTTTCTAATGTACGATTGTTTTGATTTTAGTGTGGTAAGTAGGAGTATTCTTCCTTGGTTTGAGCCTTGTCATAACTCGGTCAGATAAAATAATTAAGTTCTGAAATCTCTCAATTCTAGTAATGACAGTCTGAAGCAATGTCTGTCAACATTAATCTGAATCGTTGATCTTTTTCTGGAATTCAGAATAGTAATAGACCATCTGTGTCTGATAGCACAACATTGTAGTACTGAACAAAAATAAATGCATTTTTATGCTATGCCCCTAGAATGTATCATACCTGCCTGCTAGAATCCAGAGCATGAATGTTACTTTCTTAAACCAAACATTTAACAGACTGCTAGTCTTGGAGATTTTTATTCCTGTGTTACGAATATATGTAAAACTACCTGTGGGGAAAACTTTGACACTTTATATATTTTTAGTAAGTTGTTTGGGATTTTTTTACTACTTAACTGGATACACAATTTCATACAATGAAATAAGAACAATTGATAATAAACATTAGTAACTCATCAGTTTTTAATCAGAAAACTGAAGACTGTCCCTCTAGGGTTTTTTTTCCTTGCATGTGTTGCTTTTTTTTCTCTATCATGACTTTTGCTTCTGAAAACTTGCTGACTTAAGGGATCAAAATATATTCCAGTGAAGCTGGCTCTCTACACCTGTCCAGCATTGTCTTGTCTTAGTTTTTTCAGTGCAACCATTTCTGACAGTTACTGTTAACTTGAGTATGTTTGGAGATGGTGGTGTTTATTTTCACTTATAAAAACAATACCACAGTTCCAAGTCTGTGACTGGTTCCATAAGGGCAGTCTGTTTTTTCTGAAAAGATACTAGTGAAAAGCTGATGTAGAAACCTGCCATAATTAGCTTGCTTTCATGAGAAAGGGCATATGATTGTGTGGTTTGTATGCGAAGTGTTGAACTTCTCCCGTGTTCTCTTGTTCCTAACCCAAGGGTTTTTTAAACAAGTTTGACAGAGATGCAGGATCCTCTGAGTGGAAGTTCAAGTTTCACTGGAGTAAGTGGTCAGGAAGGCAAGAGAAACTCTATTAATGCTGCCACTGTAGAAAACACAGCTCGAACTTAAGTCTTGCGATAAGTTTGCGGTTCCCGTGGAAGCTGATTTGAATGACCTAACAGCAAGAAAAGAGTCTTTTAGTTTTTTCACCTTATTTCATATGAGAAAATGCAGAGAAGTGTCCTTAAGAAGACAGGCATCATTGGTTTAATTTCACCCAGAATGCTTATGTAGCTAAAAAATCAAAAGAGAACACTAAACCTTTATTGCCTGGGGTTTTTTGGTTGGTTGTTGGGTTGTGGTTTTTTTTCATTCACTGATGAGTTCAAGGTAGAAAACTTGAATCAAATTTGATTTTTCAGCAGTTTTAGTTGACAGGATTTTTCTCTAGTGGAGAAGGCACTTCTCATACCAGGCTGGAAGGACTTACGGTGCTGTTGTGATATTGCGCCAGTTGTACCTGCTTCTGAATGACTGAGCTAGATAAGAGTACGGCTGAAGTCTTAAGGACTTGGAGCAATGCTTGACGTGTTTTATAGTATCTTCTGGTTTATTTGCCAGGTTGGAAATGCAAAGTGTCAGGGCGAGAAGCTGTCTCATGGGAAGTTGTTTGAGGAAAAATTTTAACGGTGACTTCTGTCTCCCTCCTTTTGGCTAGTTAGGTCAGGATATAAATCAAGATAATGAAAGTGTTTAAGTAGTTTTTGAGCATTTACCTCCCTAATTGTCTCCTCTAAAGGATTTGCTATATAAATATGACATTGGATAGTGCATTTTTGTTGGGTTTTTACCTGATCAAAAATTCAGTTTAGTTTCCATATGGAATCTTTTCTATGCCATAATTGAATCCTTGTGTCACTCTAGGAAGTGGCAAAAAGAACATTTGAAGGACAAAGAACATCAAGCAGCTGAAGAACTTTCTGAAGAAAGTGACACTGAATTTGAAGAGGGTTTCAAAGTACCAGGATTTCTCTTCAAAAAGCTTTTTAAGTATGTATCATGTACTCTATTTTAACATTATGCTGCTCTATGCTGTTAATAATAGTAGTAATAATAGTGATGGTGATTTCTGGATGCCCTTCGCTATAACTTTTACATTCACTTTGGGCATCATTCACTTCAGTGATGCCTCAACTTTTATTTCTGTTGTTTCTGTAGGATTATTTATTTTAAAAAGGCTCCAGGATTAAACCACAAAGAAACTAATTTATTACAAGCACAAAATGCAATTACATGAAAATATGGATGATAAATGGCTGATGTGAATATTGTGAATGCATATTAGTTAAACTATAAATTGGGAAGCTCTCCTTGTCTATTTTTGTAAATGCTTTCTTTATTCGTAAGTGGTTGCTTTTAATTTAGGTGTGGAGTGCTAGAATAGCTTTGAAGCATAAGGTGTTGTGAAGTTGTGGTAAATGAAAAGAAGAGATGTAAGTGTTTCTGTGATTGGGTAGTGAAATTTTCTGCCAACAAAAACCAAACAACTTTTTAAATAAATAAACGAAGTCTACTCAAAGTAACTACTTATTCATATTATAAAATAGTCTTGAACATTTTGTCCAGTAAGATTTTAAAATATAGAGAGTGCTTCCTTAATTCTTTTAGTAGATGGAAAACACTCTACAGCTTATTCTTCAGTTGTTTAATTCTGGATTACAGATTTGGACATGACTGTTTTCTGTTTTAGTTTTTTGAGACCATGCTGCCCAGTGACACTTTCAGGTTCCTCTCAAAAAACTATTTACAAAAGGCAGCCCAAACAAGCTAGCAGCTGACAAGTTAACTTCATCCGTAATCTATTAAGTTCCATGCATAGTAGGCTTGAATTAATTTTTGTTGGCAACATTTCACACAGCAGGAAAAATGGCTTTTCTTTGAAAAGCTAACTCTCTAAAAATCTCAGAATTAGTGGAGTAGGAAGCCCTGGTTTATAATGGGTGTGCATGGTATCCCTTCCAACAGGACCACTTAGTCTTAACCTCAGAGAAATTATTACTGTTGTCCTGCAGTCCCTCAGAAGGGAAGCACCAGCTCTGAAATTGAATTGAATTAATGGCTTGGTTGCCAGAACCATACACAGCCAATATGTGGTCTCCAGTTGTTTATGCGAAAGTAGTGCAGAAGAGAACGGATGTGTGTGGTCTGAGCAACCCAAAGAGAATTGAGATAAAGCAGACAACTAAAAATTAATCTTAGAGATACCAGCCTCACTAATGAAGGGTATCCCTGCAAGCATGAGTCAGTTGGCAAAACTTCTTAAGTGGTTAGAAAGATCAATTTTGTTGAATGATTTGTCTGACTTGTAACTTAAATGCTGAAATCTCCGATGTACAAAGGCCTATAGTCAATAGGCATTAAACTGAGTTCTGAGCAAGTTTAGTACAAAGCATGGAAGTATATTGACCCAAGGAGGTGGATAGCAGTATACTCTAAGTGATCTGCTTGCATAGTTGAATTGAATTCCGAAGAAGGCAGCTCATAGCAGAAATAGTAGGCTGTTCAGTTAGTTCTTTGGTAAGCCTGTTGAAGTGGACGATCAGTTTCTTCCCTATATACTTGTCTGCTTTGAAACATTCAGCAAGAATGCCATTGGTGCTGCTGCGTAACAAAACCAAACATAGCGTGGAAGAGTGACTTACAAACACTGGCTTATACAGTCTGCAGTTAGCCTGAGATAAAGCTATCTTATAAACCAGGTTTCTCCATTATTTGCTTTCAATATGTAATTTCCCTGATATGTCTGAAAATGCAATTTTTGTCTCAGCAACAATGTAGCTGAACTCTCCTAACTCCTGTGGCGAATTCTGAAGGACACATCACAGTACAGCATGATTACTCATGTGAAATACAGTCCAAACATAACTATTTTGGAAGAGCAGGCAATATTTTTATTTTACTTCCAAGGTATTTTTGGAGTGAAAAACAAACCCTAAAATTTGGTGCAATGAAAACATCATTAAAGAGAATTTATTATCTCCATGTAACGATAAAAACTAACCTTGGAGCAGAATTTTTCACAAACTTAATTCTTGCCTGTGAAACTTTCTCAGGAGAAAGATGCTTATAAATGCAGCTAGCTTTTAAGCACTGGGTGTAATCCTAAGAAATAATATACCAGGAAGTTCTTGAATGGCTGTCTTCTGAGGAGACATGCTGGACATTAATGTGTGGTACAGGTTCTGACTAGAATTAGAGTTCTGTCTGGAATTAGGGTTTTCTCAAGTTCTTTAGTATCTCTGTCAGAAAATGCTTTTTCTTCATGAAATGTAGTAATGGTATCATCTTAACCCAATCTTAGCTAATCCTGCAAGCCATTTCATAGTTGGGTTTAGATTGCTAATTTTTTCTAATAAAAGGGTCTTTTTAAGGGCTGTTTGGTATAATGCACTTGAGACACCAACAGATAGTGTGATGTGTGAACCATTAGATGTGTTCTTTGATCATCTCTTTCTAACTACTCAAGCCATTTTTCTCCGTTTAGCATTCTCTAAATCCATACAGAACTCATCATAAATTGATTTTTAATAGTACTTTGTAGACACTGGTGTCGTTAGCTGTCAGTAGTCCTAAATACTATTTATTCAAAGAATGAAACAGGTTTTTTGAAATATACATAAGACAATGCCCTTAAAATGAACAATCCCTATTTCACAAAAAAAAAAAAAGAAAAAAAAAAAAAAAATTTTTGCCTTTTACTATTTCCTGCATTTG